ATCTAGCTGCTAACAAGTCTGCAAAATTTTAGCCCAAGCAGTGAACACTTGAGAAAGCTTTGCAAACCTTTGAAACTGGGGAGGGATCTGCTGCTTGAGACAGGCAACATAGTCAAGACAGCATTAGCTCTGATGAAAAAAGCTGTGCTCAACTACAGCTGTTTTCTTGCTGCAAAGCCATTTCCCCCTGTCCCAGCTCATAGAGACAAGAGGCACGAAGTTGCATCGTGTTATTTGTGCAGTTGCTTTCCAGAGCAGGAAGGTGGTGTATTTTTTTTTTAATTACTCCCCCTGTAATTCATAGAGCTCGAATAAATGGAGCGTGAGCCTGAGGCATTCGAAAGCAGAGCGTGTTTGGTTTTTAGGCTTTCCTGCTCGTTGCAATCTGTAGTTGAACAGCCAGTTAATAATTAAAGGGAAGGAAGGGAAAACAAACTTCCCGGGGAAGCCGGTGGCCATAGCACTTCGTGCAGCGCCTGTGTTTCTGTGTAAATGCCATTTGTCCCTGCGTGTGCCTGCCTGGAGGTCTCCCCTTCTTCCTCTTCTGCTCCAGATCTTTCTCCCTCTATCATAGGTCTTACCCTGATCTGTGAGGCAAGAAAATATTTGTAGGAGCCCAAAGGCAGAGAATAAAAAATCAGTCCTCTTGACCAGCGAGCTGCCAAGCCTTTGGGCTCCCCTCAGCAACCTCATCGCAGGGTGGCCGAGGCAGCGAGGGGGCCCCTGTAGCCCCCCGGCCCAGCCGGTACCCCGGTGCAGTCCCTCACTGCCCTGGCATCCCAGCTCGGCCCCCTCCCCAGCGCTGGGTGAGAAATGCCCTCTCACACCAGCTGGTTGCTTGCAGAAACTGCCTCAACTGTCATTTCTTACCTGGCAATATTTATTTTGTCCCTTTTAGGGATACCTGAATCTTGTCTGTACAAACCACCAATACTCTTGAAAAAAAATCTGCTTATTATACTTACATGACTGTAATTGGTTGCTATATCTAGAAGGCTTTTAAAAATTTTAATAGTCCCCATATTGTCACTCTTTATTTCCCCACTGGTGGGCTTTGCTCGCTATTTGTCCACCTCCTTTCTTCTGAGCAGAGCCTAGAGACCCAGCTGGGGTGCCCCCTCCTAGGGCTTCCAGGACATTGCACCAGGACAACATCTGGCTAGTAAAATCCTACCTCTGCTCCATAAATCCTGGAATATTACATTAACAATACTTTTGTCCAAATACTTTTCTCCCTCTGTTTCTGGAGCATGATCTTCTCTAGGCATGAGGCTCCTGCTGCACCGCTCACAAGCTTCCCAGTGTCACTGCCTCACTGTAGCAATGCCACAGCCCTGATTTGGAGGCAAAACCATACATGAACAAAATCTAAACAAGCCAGAGAATTGCTCCCTAAGCCGTCAGGGAGGGATTGTCAACTCCAGCCACCTGCCCCATTGTCCTGGCTCTGCCCTGCAACCCGCCCAGGCTGCCCACCACAGGCTGCAGACCTCCAAAATCAGATGAGAGGGTCAGCAAATACAGCAGGAGTCTGCAGTTCACAGCCTTGGTTGGACAAGGGGACCAAATCATGCAGACTACGAGCGAGGTTTTTTCCAACCTTTTAAATGTTTTTGGAATGGAAAGGCAATCAGAGCAAGCCACTGGTCTGCACCACCAGTAGGCGATCTCGGAGACCAGGTCTCCCAACCTTGGTTTCTGCTTGGAAGTGGCATGGCTTATTTGATCTTTTTTTTTTTTTTTTTTTTAATCTTCTGGGATTAGGGAACTTTTGGTAAACATAAAAGTCACCTTTGAAACCTAATGGTCATAAACCAAGATGCATCATTCTCAGTGTAAAAATTTGTAATATACAAATTATTTTGCCTTGAGCGCACACCTTGGGAAAGCCAGTTTGTGCAGTATCTTTTACTTCACTTTTATTCTTCGGTAGTAAAGGTTGGGTTTTACTAGATCCATTACCACTTGTGTTTTATAAGTAAAATATTTATGAACAGAGAGAGATTGTCCAATTTGAAAACTCCACTGTAGTGTAACCCCTTGGACTAAAAGCTGTTAGAGCTATGTAAATATTGTAAGTGTTTTGGGTATTTACTTGATGTATCCCATAGTTTAAATCAGTTAAAAATTAAAAAAAAAAGGAGGCAGTCTTATTTTTGTGCAAATAACAATGTTCCTGCCACACAAAGCTCAAATGAGTGGTGGTTAATAGCTGACACAAAGTTGAGCAATAAGCTTTCTTAACAAATGACTAGTCTGAACCCCACAGCTCACTTTTCAAATATCAGCTATGATTATCGTTTCAGAAATAACTTATCCTACTGGGCACGGAGGAGGATAATTTCAGAGTACTTTGCAAGCCTATTGAAGTCGGCAACTGATAGGCTTGCCTAACGCTGGGGAGGTGTCGCAAAGCATCAAGGTGCCATCGGAAGGCAATTTAAATAGCACAAGGGCGATTTATAATGCCGAGGGGAAAGAAAACTATACGTGCGTGGTCAGTGGTGTGCTGTGCCCCCGATGCCCGCACGCAGCGGGGCCGGCAGTGAGCACACCCGGGGCAGTGGTGCGGGCGCCTGGCCACGCAGCCCACAGGGCGCACCGGCCACCACCCCGGGGATGGAGCATCCTGCAGCCATGCCCTGGGACCTACTCAGGGCCACCACCAGGCAGGCCCCGGGAAGATGTCCCTGCAAGCACACTGCTGGGACAGTGATCTTGCCTCTTAACTGGGAGTTGCCAGCCCTCAGCACTGTCCCCCAAGGATGCCCCTGGGGGGATGCACCCCACCTGCCCTACGAAGAGCCAAGTGGGTGCTCGTATCCTCCCATTACCACTCCCAGATCCTCAAATTTTCCATCATCTGGCACATCCTAGTGCTGCATTACTCTTGGTGAAGGAGTTTCACTTGTTCTAAGTAGAGCTCCCTCTTGGTTATTTTGACATGACATTTATAATCCAAAACCGATTAACTCTTTCTCCCCTGATTTCAGTGTAGGATCCTCTGCACTGACAATGCTATTAAAGATCTCTGTATAAGTCCATAATGACTTTGTGCAGGTAAGTGCTCATGAGCTGTGAGTCTTCTCTGAAGTAAGGTGAAGGCAAATTAAATTATACCATAAATGATCAGTCATACTATCTGCATATCCATCTACCTATAGATTTTTTTTTCTGTAATTACTAGCAGCAAATTAAGGCTGCAGACACCAGTCACATCTAAACATGTGGGGAAAGCTGGTGACAAAGTGGGTGCAAAGATAGACTTTAGCTTAACGAGCCTAAGCAGAAGATACTTTATTTTCTTTTTGATTACCTCATCTGTGACATCCTAGTGTGTCTCTACATCTCTGTCACTGACTGTGGCAGCTGTTGCTGAGCGAAGGCTGTGCAGCAGTTCCGCTTGAGAGCAGCTGGAAATTGCTATCGTCACCGGGCTACTACTGAATGTGGGTATGGCCATGGAAGTTTTGGGGTGTAAGGCATGTTCAGTTTCCAGTGTAATGGTTTCAAACACCTATCCGAAGTGAGAACATGAGCTGCAGTTGCTGTCAGTGCAGCCCAGCCATGTTACTCTGCTCAGAGGTGACAAAACTTACAGAAAGATCTCCTTCCACCCCATGCAACTTTTTGCAGAGCAGCACAATTGCTGCTCCAGTTCACGCTTTGCAGAATCAGGGCCTAAAGGAGCACGTAAGGCAGTGAATAATCTGAGGCCTGGACGTGCTACATCCAGAGCATCATGCAGAGCATGCACACCCGCTGTTCACTCTGCCAGGACAGGGCAACAGAGAGTGTCCTTTCCTAAGAGATTTATATTTGCTTAGTTTCTGAGGCAGGCTGCATTGATGTATGCACTGAGTAACTTGGAGAAAGTCACTCATGGTCTTGTGTCACAGTATTAGGAAAGGGATTGTACAAGCTCATGAGCCTGCGATAGTAGCTGAAAGGACGAGAAACTGGGTTAGAAGACCCAGGAAGACACAGCTATAGTCCTAACTCCACCTGGACATAGAGATGATAAAACTTTTGAAGTGTTTTTCTTCAGGGGTAGGGAAGAACTTAATTTATTCTTTCGCAAAAAATGCTACAAAAGTATGCCAAGTGCCAGTCGGGGTTATCTTCCTCCCTCCCTCCCCTCCCAGAGAGGGCCATCTCCCATGGGACTCGGAGAGGAGCTGGGACCTGCTCAGTGTGGGTGCGGAGGATAACGTTGGACTTCACTATTGCTTGGGGACAGACCAACGAGGAGAGCTTCCTAGCCCCGCCACAAAGCTCATCTGACCAGGAGCCTGTCCCCAGAGTGGGGAAATGGTACTTTGTGTAGCCCAGTCAGACCAGATATCCTAGTACATTCTAAGCAGGTTACTGCTTAGAAAAAGAAATCATGCCTGATGAACCTAAGCGTTGTATTTCACCTGTCACAGCAATGCCTGTCAAAACATAAAACCTGACAAGTCCTGAAAACTCCTCACTATGCATAAATTGATTATGGAGTTGAGCAGATGCAAAGGGAACATGGATTGCTTGAAATCCCATGCTACTAATCCAGAAACACTGACAGGGCTTGGTGCCAGGTCTTGAACCAGTTGACAGGTAATAACAAGCAACAATCTAGCTCCACTGACACCTCTCAAGGCTGGTGATCTAATAAACTACAGGATGTAGTTCAAGGATAAGGACATCTTCCTGAAGAGAAAAAGATGAAAATGAGCAGCATGGAAATGGCTGCAAAACCAAATCCCAGTGATATAGTGGGAACAGCTGGCTAAAGAAGCAGGTGTCACTGAAATATTTTGGGGTCTCCAAACACTGGTCTTCCAACGGAAAGCTTAGTTGCTACAAAGCTATGCATAGCACTAATTTCCAAAATTTGATCTAAGGTGGTGTGTTTGTGGGCTTTTAGAAGCATTAGCCTCCAACTGTAAGGATGCAACGATCCTCGTGGTTATCTGTGAGTGAGGAGAGACTTCATGCACGTGTTGTTTTCCCCATGGCAGAACACCATCACAGAAGAAAAAGTTCAGAGGATGAAGGAGCAATACATGTCTGCCTACGATGTCACAACAGACAGACGCTTGCAAATCCAAGAGGTATCTCTCCCCAACCCCAGCCCAGGATTTCTTTTACAGAAGGAGGGAGAATTAGGACCTCGAGCAGACTGGGGAGATATGGGAGATAGAGCCTGGGTGGGGAGGAGGTGAGTCATGGAGTACTACCTTAGCCAGATCTCTTGGTTTGGGGTTTATTTCCGAGGCAACAACATGCCCAGCTTATATTTCCCATACTGGGTCAGCAGCCACCCAAATTTTTTCGTATCTTTACTTTCATGGTTTGGATTTGTTTCGGGCGGTTTTTATGCATTTTTTTTCCAGCTTGCAAATATGATCTTACCGGATGATGAGAACTTTCTGCTGCTTTTCCGACGGGAAACTCCCTTGGACAACAGTGTGGAATTCATGCGGGTCTGTATCTCCACATTGTCTCTTCCCCTTGCACACCAACAGCTTCTTCAATATGTACACTTCCACCCTCCGTAGAACATAGCATGGGAAATATGTTGTTATTGTGGAAGCAAAACACGTTCTGACCTGTTCAGGTAGAGAAGGTTATACCATTTGACCCTGACGCATTATCCTGGCAGGGTGTGAGGTGGAAATCTCCATCAGCTGGGCCAGCTGAGGAGCACAAACCCATAAGGTTTCCTTAACCGTGCCCAGTCTCCCTCCACTCTCTGCCCCTAAGTATCCCAGCACAGAATTTCAATTTTTCCAAGATTGCTTGCAGTTAATTTTATTTCACACCCAAACTGGGGACTTCTGCAGTTCAATGGCCGGTTGTCTACGGCCTTGACTTTTACTCAGGGCAATAAGAGAAGCTGCATGTACAAATTAAGTGAGAAACGCAGAGCGGTTTCTTAGTCTTTTCTTCCTTTTATAGGCAGTGTGTCTGCATTAAATATGTGATAGCAGCACGTCACATGTACAGCATCCAAATGCGAGTAAAAGCTATTGTGTGGAAAGTTTATTTTATTTTGTCTACAATTAATTAAATATTGGATAATGCAATGCTTGCTCATTATGGAAGTCCTGATTTGAATCTTTACGATCTATCACCCAAGGAGATGATTAACTGAAATATTTATGTGGTCGTTTCAATCTATCTCCATTCAGATCTGGCGCAGTTACGATGCTGATAGCAGTGGATTTATTTCATCTGGCGAGCTCAAAGTAAGTTATTCTAACAAGTCTGTTTGGACTTGGTCTACAGCTCACTGATGTCAATGGAAGCCTTTCCATCGACTTTACCAATTTGCTGCCTTTTTGTGTGGTTGATGAATGGCATTTCTAGGTTGCTCACGGCGAGTTTAAGGACTGGGGACCCTCCAGCCTTCTGACACAGCTGCAGGGACCCTGCTGGGAGGGATAGAATCATCGAATCATAGAATCATCTAGGTTGGAAAAGACCTTTAAGATCATCGAGTCCAACCATTAACCTAACACTGCCAAGTCCACCACTAAACCATGTCCGTAAGCACCACATCTACACATCTTTTAAATACTTTCAGGGATGGTGACTCAACCACTTCCCTGGGCAGCCTATTCCAAGGCTTGACAACCCTTTCAGTGAAGAAATTTTTCCTAATATCTAATCTAAACCTCCACTGGCGCAACCTGCGGCCAGTTCCTCTCGTCCTATCGCTTGTTACGTGGCAGAAGAGACCAACCCCCACCTCGCTACAACCTCCTTCCAGGTAGCTGTAGAGTGTGGTAAGGTCTCCCCTCAGCCTCCTCCTCTCCAGGCTAAACAACCCCAGTTCCCTCAGCCGCTCCTCATAAGACTTGTTCTCCGGACCCTTCACCAGCTTCTTTGAACGTGCTCCAGCACCTCAAAGTCTTTCCTGTAGTGAGGGGCCCAAAACTGAACACAGTATTCGAGGTGCGGCCTCACCAGGGCCGAGTACAGGGCCATGATCACTTCCCTACTCCTGCTGGCCACACTATTTCTGATACAGGCC